TATAGCTACATCTCTTCCTTTTGGTGTTTGCCTAATGTAAATTTTTAATGCTGTTATCCCCATTCTCTATGTATTCTACTGATTTGGATATGTTTGTGAATACTATATGACTACATTTTTTTTAGCTTGAGAATTATTTTTAAAGTTAGTATCTTTATTCTCTGTATTAGTCATATTTGGTTGTAATAATGAATGCAACAACTGCAAAATTCCAGTGGCATACCACAGAAATGTTTTTAGCTCATAGGTCTGTGATCTGCTGAGCTTGTTTATTCATGTATTTTTGTTTGTTTTGGAAATTGAACTCAAGACCTTGAACTTGCCAGGCAGACACTGTACTGCTGCGCTATAGCCCTGGCCCGATCTGCTGAGTTTAATGAGGTTTGGTTGTAAGTTGTGAATTATTGTATTTGTTACCTTTTGTTCTAATGACAAAATACCAGACATAAACAACTTAAGGAAGGAAAGATTTCTTCTGGCTCACAGTTTGAGGAATTTCAGTTGATAGCTGGCCAGGCCCATTATTTTTGGGTCCATGGCAAGGAAGAAGCCTCATGGTGGAAGAGAACTGCTTACTTCCTGACTGGATATAAGATAGACCCTTTAGAGGCGCCCCCCAGGGGTCCACTTCTTCAGAGTAGGTCTGGACTCCAACAGCTTGCCTGGTTGTGGACTGTCAGTGGATTAACCTGTTGTTGGGTTAGTGCCTTCACAATCCAGCCATCTATCCAGGTACCTCTTAATCCTAGTAAGTTGAGAATCAGGAGTAATCGTAGTTGGCTGGTAGCCCCCTGGGGTATGTATTTGCCTTGGTGCAGTGCAGGAGAATGCAGACAAGCTTTGTGGTCTTAACAGTCTCTGGTTGGAACTAATGCAATCAGCCCTCGTTCCAGTGAGGCATTGGCCACACCTGCAGGGCCCAAGTATCTGAAAAATGAGGTGAAATGGCAGTTTTCCCATAAGTGTCACAGCACTGTCTACCTGATCTGCAAGATTGTGGATTTAACACATGTTGTTTTCTCTCTTGAATAGGGTACACAACAGAAAGTTAGAATTTTTTTCCTTCTTTGTCCTGTGGCAAAGGGTAGGATTGAGGGGAGGAGATAGGACATTTCAACACATTTTTTTTTTTTTTTTATATTCACATCATTTTATTCTCACTCAGACTTTCTTTTTATCATCCTTTTCTTATTTTATAAAGTGGTACCCTACTCCCCTATTTGTTTGTTTGTTTTGTTTTTGGTACTGGGGATCAAACTCAGAGCTCTGCACTTTACAGCCAGGTGCTTAAGCTACTGAACTATCTCCCCAGCCCCTAGTTCTTTACTTAAAACTTATACATGTTTAGTCTGCAGTAATTATAGATTTAATAAAGTACTTTTTGCTTAAGTGAATTAATTGGTAGAGTAGTTGAAGGTATGTGGTGGGATTTTTTTTTTTTTTTTTTTGACACGGTCTTTCAGAAATTTGTATTTTGAAGCTGTGATTAGCATAAAGAATCTTGAAAACTGACTCCAGTTATGTTATTTATAAATGCTTCTAAGAACTCCATAATATTTTACATTAATTCTAACACATGTTGCATATTTGTAAATTATGAGGCCCCTGTGCATTATTATTTGTGATGGTATGATTATAAATGTAGTGTTTCTAAGTTTTATTATTTGAGTATTTTTGAAGGAAGGATTTTTAATTTGAGAAAACATTTTTGTGGTACTAGGACTCATATTGAAGGGGCTATATCATCGAGCTATATCCTCACCACCCCCCTCCCCTTCCCTTTTAGACAGGGTCTACCTAAGTTGCCTGGGCTGGTCTTGAATTTGTGGTCTTCCTGTTTCAGCTTCCTCAACTGCTGGGATTATAGGTATGTGTCACCTTACCCACAACAGTGCTGAGGAAACTCTTGGTGTGTTAAAAATTTAAATCCTTTAATAAGTAATTATTGTGCTCCTTATGGTTATGGGGAGAAAAGGGACAGTGCGTAGTATTTTGATGTTATCATATGGAAATTTTAAGTTTAAGATAAAGTATGTTGATATGAAAATGATTAAGGAGGAAAGTCCTTCAGCAAGGAAACTAGATTGCACATATAATGTAAGAGGGCCTCTGGGTCATCTGTAAACACTCATTCTCCTTTGTGTACTCATAATATAGGACTGCTGTTCTTCCTCAACATGTTCCACCTCAGAGATCCTCAGGAGGGAAGCAAAGCCAGTGCGTTCAGTCAAGCTCTGCCAAGAAAGTGTATTTATCATAGAATAAACTTCCATTGTATATTCTGAAAGTAACATGTGGATTATATCTTATTTTAGATTTTTCCATACAATTTTTAATTTTTTTGGAATGACTGGGTTATCTGGAAATGGAAATCATTTACTAATGGACAGATAGAGATGAAAGTATGTGGGTTGGGGGTTGGATGATTACATGGCAGAACTATGATTATATGCCACTGCTAATTACAGTGTATGGACTATGCTGTGCATACAAGTGCTGAGGCAAACTCTTCATTTTGTAAATGTGTACTCCTTACATATGTTAGGTGACACGAGTAACGTGTATAATAGATGAGGCTAGCATTACTTCTTCAAGAACTATTGCCCTAACAATGACTCAAAAGCAGAAAGCCTTTGTATTGTTAATTTCTTAATTGATTTAGAAAATAACTATTACCTTTTGTGATTGCAAAAAGTAGTTTCAAATTTTTTCTTAAAGAAGTATCTTACTGATTTATGAAAGATACTTTACACAAAGTAGCACAAGTGTGAATTTTATATCAAGTCTGATTTTTTTGTGGAGTTTTATACATTAGATTCATGTATCCATTGTTATGTTTAAATATAGCCTTAGCACTGTAATACCTCATTTACAAAAAATAAGAGAAAAAGACTTACAATGTGTATCTTAGCAATAAGATAAGTATTAAGTAATACAAGATGATGCTGTGTACTCTTTTCTTTTCTTTCTTTTTTTTTTTTTTTTTTTTTTAATGTATTTGATACAGGGTCTCACTACACAGCTTGGACTCATAGTGATCCTCCTGTTTTCAGCCTCCCCCGTGCTGGGATTACAGGCATGTGCTACCACACCTGGTCAGATGCTGAGTACTTTTTTTTTTTGAAGTACTGGTGATTGAACTCAGGACCTTGTACTCGCTTATTCAACTGAGCTATCTCCTTGGCCCCAAGTACTCTTGAATAAAAATGACTGAGCACAAAAATTTTCATAAAGTATTTATTCATTTTTTAAATGATAAAAATGCCTTTTATTATCTTTTCCTGTTTTTGGAAGACAGTTCTTCTTTACCCCTCATAGACCAGCAGTAGGCCTCAGTAGTTCTTTCTGGTTATAGTTCTACCTGAGTCATTAAACTGAGGTTATGACAGCTCTTGGAAACCAAAACTAGGAGGCTGATATGAACTGGATTTGCTTGGGTGAATAATAACATTTATACTGAGTAATCTAACATACTGATAAAGTGGAAATAAACTTGGATCCGCAAGTTCAGTCAACTCACTGGGATACCACATTCACGTATTTGACACATGAGTTGAGTTCTCATGTAGAGTGATGGCCTTAGCTTCATCAGCTGTGATTTTATTCTTTAATCTGAGTGTCTGTCAGTCTTTTTTTGGGGGGGGGGTGTATGTGTGCCAGAATCCAAACTCATGACTTCATGCTTGCCAGGCAGGTACTATGCCGCTGAGCTAAATCTCCAGCTGCCTATCAGGCTTTACCAGCTGTAGCAGCCACTGCTTGGCAAAATTTTGCCATGAAGTCTGGGTCACTGACCTCCAGCTGTATGACAAATTCATTACGCTCCTTGCTCAGCCTAACCGTGAAACCACTGATCCCAAAGATGTAGCTGGCACTCAGAGATACGAGGTGGTCGGTTTGTTCCACATAAACTAAGCTGCTCCAGACTACCCAGGAGTGGCTGTAATTTTCCTGGCACTGCCTTAGCTACCAAGTCCTGTAGAAAACGTTCTCACTGAGGACCTGACCAACTGGCAAACAGTGAAGAATGTACTTCATCTCCTGGGAAGTGATGTAAGACACTGGAAGAAGGAAAGAACTGTTAATGGTGTCTGGTACTAAGGGTAACAGAGAAGGGAAGGATAGTGGCACTGAAGAGGAAGGTGATTCCAGTGGCATCCTCCCTTTTCCTCTGAGAGCCCTCGGTGATTCTTACAAGAGTACTGTGACTCCAAACTATCCAGGCTGCCTCCATATTTCCTGAAAACCTTCCTATTTATTTATTTTTGGAACTGGAAATTGAACTCATGATCTCGCACTAGCGGGGCAGGCATTGTACCACTGAGTTATGTCCCTGGCCCTATCAAATGTATTTTAGAAATTCTTAGGAAAAATGTCTTGAAACAACTGTAGGACTATTGAATCATAGAGAATATTTTCTTTATAGTTGGCTGCTTTTTAAAATATTTTAAAATGGACCAATATTACATTTATAATGAAGAAAATGTCCATTATTGGAGAAAGTTTGTAGCGACTATATTTGTTTGTTTGTTTATTGTACTGGGGATTGAATTCAGGACTTTGTGCTCGCCAGGCAAGCACCTATTCTACTGCGCTATCTCCCTGGCCCCAACTTTTATGGTCTTTGTGTGGTCGCTTGTATAAATCATTTAGATATAGCAGGTGTGATGTGCTATATTACCTTAGATGGAGTGCTTTCTTTCTCTGATTTACTTAGTTGGGAATGGGGAAGGAATAAGTTTTTAGTGCTGAAGACAGAGGACACCTCTTAATCTGTTTCTGTGTAGTTATTTTTTAATACTACTTACTTTTGAAGTAATTTGAGAAAAAGGGCAATTTGAGTTGAATTGTCATGTTATAGAAAATAATTTTTATATTTAATGGATAATGATAGGGGAGCTTTTCTGAAAATAGAGAATGTTTTGAAATGAAATTTTGTTCTGTTTAGAGTAACTTTCAATATTGACCTTTAGAAAATACTATTTCTCTTTTATTTCCAGAAATAGGACATGTATTCCTCTGAGAAAACTTGGACAGCAGATTTTCATTTAATATCTTGTTGGAACAATATACAGAGACATTTCCAGTCATGAGTAAGTGTATATCTTTCATTTGAGTTATCTCAAGTGCATTTGTAGTGTTGTACTTAAAGAGAAAATGTGTTACTGGACAAATTGGAATTATGTCACTGTTTTTAGAGATTGTATAATCTGATTCTTCCCAACACCACATGCTTGTTTCTATTTGAACAAAGAGATACTTTTTGACATTTGATTTATTCTAAGAAGTTAGATGTGATGAGGAAATCTGAATAGTTTCTTGGCTGATTTAATTCTGTCATCTAGAAACTTTTTATTGACTAGCCACTGGAGAATGAATCCTTAAAAATACAAATGGGGAATATCGCTTTTGGTCATAATTAGGAGAGATTTTATTTTATGGAATGTAATCATTAGGTAGCACAAGTTAATTTATCTAAACAAAACAAAAATCTCCCTGGCAGTGCCTTTGTGGAACAAGAAACCAAGGCTATCTTGCATTTAATCAAATTTGATTGTTTTTGTCTTCTCATCTGTAAGCAAATGGTATATGTAATATTTTCTGTCCATGTCTGTCCACTTCAACTTGTGAAGTGTTTACGTTGAAAAATTTGGTGTTTACTTTGAAAGGGTGAGGAAAAAGTAAGATTTTTACCTTAACTGGGATCCAGTAGAAATTTTGAAGTCCAGATTTCTGATTGTGGAAACTTTGGGATGGAGTTTTTTATTTGCAATATAATGTTAGGGATTTTAAAATTTTTATGATTTTTTTATATTGGTTATATTTACCTTAGTATAAATTTGTGCAACTTTTCTCATCAATTTAATGAGGCATTTGGCAAATGAAGATGAAACTCTTGGTACTGTGAAATATTTGAATCTTAGTTACTAAGAAGAATATTGCAAGACATGGATTTGGATTTGCTTTTGGAGACTTTATAATGATGTGCTTTTCAGTTGGTATATGGTGAATGAACAAGTAGAGTTGCAGATTAGGAAAGAAGCATCTATTTCAGTTCATTCATGGAACTGTGTGAGAATGCCTATCTAATGTTAGCTGCCAACTAAATGAAGATGGCGATGAGTCCATGAAAATTTTAACAGGAATAGAAAACATTTTAACGTTAAAAATACATTTTTAAAAAGTGAACATTTTATTTTACCTTTTAACATTTTTAATTTTTAAATCAAAAGATTAATTTTATTTGCTGCATTTTAAATTGGTTTTTAAAAATATCTTCTAGTTCTTTTTTTATGGCTGCTTATTCTGTGACTTTTGTCTTACTGTTATTCCTTTATCTCTTCCTGGATATTTTTTTTTTTTTTTTTTTTGGTGTGTGTATTTAGAGTCTTTTTTCAGATCATTGATTATTTTGAAGTTTTGTCTGTGGTGAATATATGTCGTAATTGTTGATATTGATGTTTTTATCGTGTGTGTGTGTGTGTGTGTGTGTGTGTGTGTGTGTTTTTAAGGCACATTGTTAGATTTCATTTCTTTTTTCCTTTGTCTGTGTTTCCTTTTCTCTATTAGTGATTTTCCCCTGCTGGTCTAGCAGATTTATAGTTGTCTCTGCCTTGTTTTGGAGTTCTGGGATCAAAATTTTGTCTGTGTTGGTAAATGAGAGTCTTGGCCCCCACGGTGATGCTGGCGCCATCACAGATTTACTAAGTTAGTCAGCTGGCGTTAGGTCAGCAGCTTCCTTCCCATAGGTTGTAGCCTCAGCACAGTTAGTAGAGTCCTTTTTCACTCTGTTTCCTACTAGAGAAGGACTGCTATCTCACTGCCTGGGTTTTAGCAAAGAGCCTGGCTATTGGGCCCACTTAACATGGAATACTTACTTACAGTTATTCTAAGGGTCAAACTTCCTGCTGCTTTGGTGATTTCAACTTGTCTCACACATTATGTTCCTGTTACATTTCTGGTGGTCCATAGAGATGTTTAACACGTTTAGGGGCATAAATTTGTCATCTTAGTGATTTGTTTTTGTATTTTATCTGTGAAAATATCTGATCTTTGTGTTTGTTGTGAAGACGGGAGAGACACAGAGAATGGATAGTACCATTGGGATTTAATTACTGGTACTAATAATTAAAGCCCAAACTCTAGACTTAACATTGAAGATTCTTCTTTACAAGTCAGCTTCTGCTTAGCTCCCTAGTTCTTTGGAAACCCCCCCCCCCCATCCTATAATCCTGTACAACATCCCTTGCTAGATGAGCTCCTTGGACTTCGCTATAGCACTCTGCTTGCATTGCTCTGGTACCTGCCATGCAGCATGTTATGGGTTGTGTCTAGTTGTCCCTCCAAAGCCTCATGCAGTTGTGGGGTGACTTCTAGAGTTTGTGATTAATTCATGATCCAGTGCTGGGATTATGGATGTGAGTGATACATCTGCCCAGGGGCAGATAGTCTGAATACAATGTGGGGAAGAGAAAGAGGCTTGCTAGATGCCACAGCTGCTGCTCCTGTCTCTGCTCTGCTGTTTTCTGCCTGCATAAACTACTGCTGTCTGCCATGTGTCACTTTGCCTTGAAGCCAGCTGTGTATAGAGTGAAACCTCCACTAATTGTGAGCTAAATAAACCTTTCCTTCCTTAATTTTGGGTATTGGGTATTTTGTCCCAGCAACAAGAGAAAAGTAACTGAGATTGTAGCATTAGCATCATCTGTTGTTTGCACTTTCTAGCCTGTATGCTTCTTGACAGTAAACACTATTTTATTCCTAGTGCTAAACACCTCTTCCAGGCACTTAGGTGCTAAATAAATACTGTACATCTTTGAGTGTTCTGTGGCAGCTATTGGGTGCATTAATATTTTTAGATGAAATTTGAGCTGAAAAGTGAGAAGAGTATGTAGAGATTAACAGGATAAAAGAATTCTAGGTAGATAGAACATACGAGAGAACTGTTACTAAGTGGTTGATTATTCTTAATTATAGAAGTGGGAAGGGGGATTGTGAGAGAGAAAACTAGAAGAGAGGAAGTCAGGCTACCTGTCATTTATAGTCCAGGAAATTTGGATTCCATCTTACAGGGCTTGTGACACTGTTAAAAGTTTTCAGTTCCATAAATGATTTAAGGTTTCATTTTGGAAAAAACTATTCTGACAAGTAGTGTTTTTGTGAGCCATAAATTTAAAAGTCTGTGTTACATAGGTAGTATTTGCTTTCCTGGTTTTTGTTCTTTGATTTTAGTTCATTTCAAACTCCTCTTGAATCATATTGAATTACATTTCTTTTTCTTGCCATTTTGATATTTTCTCTAGAAAAAGACACTGTATTTGAGTAGACTACTGTAATGATAGTGTTGGGAGTGTTACAGAGGTCTACTGTGTGCCTCATTTTCTAGGGGATTGTAAGTCTTCCGGAAAGTGGTAATTGAATATACTAGAAATCTTGTTTTTAGAAAAAAATTATGGGAGATTGAAAAAGGTTTTTTAAAAAAAGAAGAGGAATATATGCCATTAAAGTTGGGGAGAATTTCCAAACCTAGATTTGGTTAAGAATGATAGGTTAAGTAACATTTTTTTCTTCAGTATTTCCCTAGAGATAATTGTATATGTGGGTGAATTTGTGTATGCAGGATCTCCCAACTCTTTTCTAGTCATAGAATACATAGGCCATGGTCATTGTTGTTTGGTGCTTGGAATAAAAACATGCAACGTGGTGGCACTTGCTTCTGACATCTCAGGCCAGGCTGCCGTGTGTACTCAGCCACTATAAGAACAAAGGGGATCGCTTTCTTGACCTGTGTGACACAGTCTTGGGATAGTGGGTAGGTGCCCCAAATGAAGGTCCGGAGAATTTGTTAGATGCTTTGTAATATTTTTCAGCTTTTATATTAGCTGACATGTGCTCTGTCAAATTCTGAGGCCAAATACTTGTGTATTATCTGATATTATTATGATACTGAGAATTTCCTTGTGGATTAACTTTATTACAATCCACAATTTTTTTTTTAAATTTTTACTACTTAGATTGTTATTTTTTGGTATTTGTATATTTTGCATTGTTTAACTTTTTTTAACTTTTTTTTTTGTGGCTGGCTGAGCCCTCCCTAGGGGCGGGGCTGGCATGGCACATGGTACTGGGGATTGAGCTGCAGTCCCTGTCCCTGCGCTTGCCTAAGCAGGCACTTTAGATCATTGAGCTACCTCACCAACCCCAGTGTTTAACATTTATTTGATTTGTTTACTTTGTTTATCAAATGATGCCAAAGTTGAAATAAAGTTGTTATATTTACTGAAAGTATGGATATGATTTGAAACAGATGTCTTAGGTCTTTTTTTTTTTTTGGTGGGGAGGGTGTGGTACTGGGAATTGAACTCAGGACCTTGTACATGCCAGGTAGGCACTAGTGGATGTTAGAATAAGGGACGTTTTGTAAAATGCAGTATTGTACAAATGATTATTTTTTTGTGGAAAATAACTACACACTTGCTCAAAATAATTAGGAGTCATACTTAGTTTTATTTTCTAAAGTTTTAAATTGAACAAAAACTTTATTTGCTGTATCATATTTTAATTTCCACTTCAGTATTTTATTTCACTTTTTTCATGAAAGCTTTACTGTAGCTAATGACAGGTCCAAAGAGTCTTTTCTGGAAGTCAACTCTCTTCTTCTGACTTCTAATCAAGGAGTGAATTTATTATATTTGTTTGTGTTTGATCTTTCTCTTTGGCATATCTATTGGTTTTGGTTTTTTTTTTTTTGTTTTTACTTTTCTTTTTGAAGCAAGATCTCCTTGTGTAGCTCACACTGGCCTTGAGCTTGTTATGCAGCCCAGGCAGTCCTTATACTCTCAGTGATCTTCCTATTTCAGCCTCCTGAGTGCTAGGATTACAGGTGTGGACCTATATATTGGAAGTTTTTTTGGAGGTCACTTCTATATAGGAACCATCTTTCATTCAGTTGCGAAAGAGGAATGACAGTCGATAATTTTTATGGAATGTACAGTATTTAGAAGAATAAACACTAGTGTGAACTGGATTAAATTCATGCTGAAAAAGTGAAGAGCAATTTGCTATTTATTAGAATAATAATATAAATAATTGA